ACTCAAGACAACACAATTAGTGTTGAGTTCTTTGCTGACTTGTGTGTTATAAAGGACAAGGTGACACAAACAGTTCTGCTAGAAGGGAAACTTAGCAATGGACTATATCAACTGTAATCACCTGTTACTCGAAGCATCTGTGCAAGACCATCAGCGTTTGATCCTATTGATTCTTCTTCAAGAATAAAAATGTCTACTGACATAGGAGCTATCTCAATCAATAATTCAAGACTTCAAAATTTGCATTTAACAAATGTAGCTACTGTCATTAATAAGTGTGATTCAGTTGTATGGCATATGAGGCTTGGCCACCCTCACTATAAGATCTTTTAAGCTGTTATACATAATGCATTGAATAAAAAACTTCCTGCTTCAGAATAAATATTGCACAAACGGTGAGCTTGTAAATTTGGAAAGTTGCATCAGCAACCTTTCTCTTAGTCAGTGACAATCAGCACAAAGCCATTGGATTGATCTTTGCTGACTTATAGGGTCCATCACCAGTAGTTTCAAAGGAAGGATATAGATATTACATTGTTTTTCTTGATGATTTCAGCTAATATTCTTGGATATATCCATTAAAACAAAAATCAAAAGCTTTTGACATTTTCAAACAATATCATGCACTGGTGGAAAGACAACTTGAAACTCAACTGAAATGCATTCAAACCGATTGGGGGGTGAATTTATATGCTTCTTACCTTACTTAAATTCTCATGGCATCAAGTTCAGGCATCCATGTCCTCATATCCATCAACAAAATGGAAAAGTTGAGAGGAAGCATCAGCATATTATAGAAATTGGTTGACTTTGCTGGCCAAATTTCAATGCCTTTTCAATTTTGGTGGCATGCATTCCATATTGTAGTCTATCTAATAAATAGGCTACTAACTCCAGTTCTTCAATACTTATCTCCTTTTGAGAAATTATTTCACTAAGCTCCTAATTATACCCTACTAAAAGTCTTTAGTTGTAGGTGTTTTCCCTACTTAAGACCATACAATTCTCACAAGATGGATTATCATACCAAACCTTATATCTTTGTTGCATATAGCTCTTCTCACAATGGCTATTTATGTTTAAGTGAAACAATGAGAGTTTACATTTCTAGGAATGTGGATTTTGATGAAACAAATTTTTCATCCAAGGATGTGCAACTTACCATTTCAGCTCCTCAATAGCAACCAATTGAGTTAGTTGTGTATTCCTCTAACTGGCAACTTCCATATGCACCACCTGCTGATTTTCCTTCTAGTTACAGGTAATGACTTCATTTACATTCAGTAGCTAGTTGATGAATGACATAAAACTTTTTCCTTGAAAGACTTGGGTGAATTGAGTTACTTCCTTGGCTTTGAAGTAATAAGAACTAATGCTGGTATTCATCTAAATCAAACTAAGCATGCTGCTAATCTACTTAAAAAGGTTAGAATGTTTGATGCTAATGCTAGTTCAACACCTCCTATAGCTGCAAATACCAAGTTGGTTAAAGATGATGGTGCATTATTTGACAATCCAGCCTTGTATAAAAGTGTTATTGGCAGCCTGCAATACTTAACTATGACCCGCCAGATTTGGCTTTTGTTGTAAATAGATTAAGTCAATTTCTACAAAGTCCATCTATGTCTCATTGGGTTGCTTGTAAAAGGGTCCTGCGTTATATTAAAGGTACTCTTGATGTTGGTCTTAAATTTCAGCCTTCTCAAAATCTAGTGCTAGAAGGCTTTGCCGATGCAAATTGGGCCAATGATCTTAATGATAGAAAGTTTACCAACGGCTTCTGTGTTTGTCTTTTTGGCAACCTAATTAGCTGGGTATCTCACAAACAAAAGGTGGTGGCTTTGAGTTCTACAAAAGATGAATATAGATCACTTACTCAAGCTTCTATTGAACTTGTTTGGGCTCAACAGTTGTTGCATGAATTGAAGGTCTCTATTCCTACTAAATCATTCTTGTGGTGTGATAACAAAAGTGCCGATGCCCTAGCTGTAAATCCTGTGTTCCATGCTCGAACTAAACACATCAAAATTGATGTGCATTATGTCCAAGATTGGTTCTATCAAAAAGGTTGGTTGTTCAGTACATTGCCACTGAATTTCAAATTGCAGATATATTTACTAAACCTCTGCCTATCACACGCTTTCAAATGTTGTGTGGTAAACTGCATTGGACTCCCTTTGTCAGTTTCANCATGGATATCCCATAAAAATATAGCTAGTGGCCCAGGATCTGAACTTGTCATGTGATCCAAGAATGGCAGCATAATAAAGTCATCCAAACGCTCAAAGATGATCAATAGTTGGCAGTTTTTTGAACAATATCTCATAGGGAGTCTTTCCATGAAGGACTCGGATTGGAACGCAATTGATTAGGTAGGTGGTTGTTAGACTTGGCAAAATAGGTTTAGACCTGCGGGTCGACCCTAAACCTGGGTAAAAAATATAGGGTGTGGGTCTTTAATATTGGCCCTGTTTTTCTTCTACCCATACCCAGCCCGACCCGTTTTGCCAATGGGTCAAACGGGTACACCCGTGGGTGCCCGCGGGTACCCGTTTGTTTTTTTTTTTAAAAAAAAAACCTTTCCACTTTTCATTTTCCAGGGATATGCTGAATTCTAAATTGGGGTTTGGCTGTATATTTATTATTGTCTTCTGTTTGCAGACACAAATTTATCATACATGTTTCATTATATTAATTTTGCTCTGTTAATGTGAACTTCTGCAAAGAATTTGATACAACCTTTTAAATTTTTTTCCTATGTTTCAGTTGTAGGATTCAGTCCTCAGGATTTTGATTGTAGGAACATGATGGATCCAAAACCAGGGAGATGCAGAAGAACTGACGGGAAGTAATGGAGGTTTGGTAAGAATATAATTCCTGATCAAAAGTATTGTGAGCGGCACATTCATCGAGGTCACCAGTGTTCAAGAAAGCTTATGGAAGCTTCTCAGGTTGCTTCTCCTTCAGTTACAACTTCAACCAAAGATTCAGAGAATTTTAAGACCATGTCAATTCATTCTCAAAGTGATCCCATCCCCATGTTTTTGCCCCAAATTGCAAAATCCCTAACTCAAACTCACTCTCTCTGTCTCTCATCAACCTTCTCTCAAACTCATTGTCACCGAAATCCCTAACTCCATTGTCGCCGCTTCTCCTGTCTTCGTTTCTCATCAGCCATGTTTGTACTCTCCACTGTCGGCGCATCAAGGACAATTGATAAAGTTCTTTTCTCTTTTCTTCAATTGCTTTTCTTTTGTAGATTTTTTCGTTTTTCATATTTTTTTATGTGGGTTTATTTGGTTGATGAGGAATGAAAGGACAATCGATTCTTTTATCTTTTTCTTTGTTAGGTTCTAGGTTTCTGTTTGGTTGGTGAGAAAACTTGGGAGAAAACATGGGTTTCTTTTTTCTGTTTGGTTGGTAACAAATTTTGCTCAATAACCAAGATTTTAGGAAGATTTGGGGGTGTAACTGCAAAAATCTAAAATTGGAGTGAACAATACATGCACCCGTGGGTCCACCCATACCTGCATAGGGTAGGGTGCGGGTCTAAAATATTGGGCCCATTTAAATCGACCCGTTTAGGACCTGTACTCGTGAGACCCGCACCCGTTAAACCTGGCCCGTACCCGACCCACCCGCCCGTTTTGCCGGGTCTAGTGGTTGTGATCACACATTCACCCCAAAAGGAGACAAGTATATTGGCTTGATGTTTAAGGGCCTAGGCTACTTCTAATAAATGTCAGTGTTTTTATTTGACAACCCCATTTTGCTAAGGGCTATATGTGTAAGAACTTTCATGAAGAATGTCAAGTGATAAGAAAAGAGATGAACAGCTATGGTTAAAAAAATCTCTAGCATTGTCAGTTCTAATCCATTGGACTGATGAAGGAAATTGAGTAGTGACAATGGATAGAAAATTTTTAATGTGGGTAAGTGTTTGGGTTTTGCATTGCATAAAGAATGTCCATGTCCCTTCGGAAAAATCATCTACAATGGTAAGGAAATATTTGGATTCATTGTGATTTGGGGCGTGATATG